AAGAGAAGATGACAGAGAAAGGGAGGGGATTAGTGGATGTAAGAGCCCCCATAGGCAAAGGTAGTGATTCATCCTCTCGATTTTGAAATTACTTGTATGCTAATAGGTTTAGAAAGATTGAGAATGCTACAATTTCTTGTGAGAAGTTTTTTTACTAGGCTAGTTTTAGTGATGCTTCGAGAATGAGAGAGGAGTTAGAAAATTATTTTAAAACATTAAAACTGAAGTTGATGTGTACATTTAGGGATAGGATGTTCCTCTTTAGTTAAAGAACTTTACACTAGCATTTCTATTGACAAAATTGAATTGTAAGATCATGATGAGTTTGTAGAAGATAGCTTAAATGTATTTTTAAATGATAGAAATTTTCATATCAGTGCTCAAGATTTAGGAGAGTTCCTAAAAACAAAATTTGAAATAGGAGAGTGCAAAATGCTTGAGAAGTATGATCCAAGTCATCTTTGAGAGATTGTAACTAGGAAAAAGGAGAAGTTTCCTTCCAGAAGCTATGCTAGCTAGATTAAGAATGCTCAGCTTAAGATTCTTCATTATTTCATAGCAACCATTCTACATGGAAGAAGTAGCAGTTTTAGCTATGTGAGTGCACAAGACGTGTGGCTGATGGAAGCAGTTTTCAATGAAATTTCATTAAATGTGGGAAGGTATATGGTAGAGAGAATTAGGGCAACCTTGCTAAGGGATAAAGCAAAGTTTCCATATTGCAACATTCTTACCGCTCTGGTGAAAAAAAAAATTGGAATATAAGGTTTCAATATGATCTAACAAAAAACAAGGATCAATGGATATTTTCAAGAAGTGTACTGATAATGGGTTACAGGATAAGGAGGAATGAATGCATTAAAATCACCAAAGATACACCTCTACCTCCTCTAATTGGTAATCCTTCAACACTCTTAACCAGGGTCAGTCAAACCCCTCCTCAAGGTGACATGATATTTAATCTCCTCATGAAAATCGATGGGAAGTTAATTAATCAGGCTATATGGATTACACAGATTGAAGAGAAACTACAATAGCTTGAAGCCTTGTTTTATCAAACTAAGGAAACAAAATCCTTTGGAGCTTCAGCCACTTTTCCAAGCTAGTCTAGTGAGAGGACTGCTACAGAACAGTTTGAAATTCTAACTTTTGATCATGAAGGGGAAATTGGAAAAGAAATGCTTAAAACTGAAGATAAAGATTAGAACAAAATGAAAAATTGTGAACACAAAAAAGCTGAACATGAAGAAAAAATTATGAAAGAACAAACAGATAATGAAAAAGAGCAAGATATTACAGAACATCCTGAAACAAAATAAAGCCAAGAAAAGAAAGATGTGAAAGGTAAAAGGAACTTGAACAAGAAGGAAGAGTGGAGAATGAACTTCAAGGTGAGAATAATACTCAATTGGTGGAAAAAGTGGTGCAAGTTCTCCTTGAGAATATGAAGAGATCTTAGTCTTTAACTTTATTATAGATATCCTCAAGGAAGCTAAAGTTAACCAAGCACAACAACAAGCAAAGATGCACTAAAAAGTTCAATCAGCTCCATAAGAGACAGAACACACTATAGGAAAAGCACATTAAAACAAGGGTAAAGTTATTGATATTGCTCCTGTTGCTAAGAAAACTACAGGAAAGGAGAGAAAAACTATGGTTACTAAGACAAAAACCTTCAGAAGAAGAAAGTTTGCCAAATTAGGATTGACTTCCACCCAAAAGCCTTCTAAACCTATAGCCCCTAGCCTATCTAATCCACTTCAGCCTCATCATCAGACTTCTCATCCCGTTTTTCTTCCAAACCTCTCAATGTTCATTTTGACACTGACGAATCTTTACCTTTATCTGATTTAGATTAGGACCTTTTTTGGATGATGTCAAAAAGGGGGAGAAAAGTAAGAAGGTAGGAAAATAGAATAAGGAAGTAGAGCTGGTATAAGATCAGGAAATAGAGCTGGTAGGAATGATGAACTCAGTTGTTTTTGTTTTGGTATGTTCTATGGTGTGTTGAACAATGTTTATAATAAGCTATGAACAATAGTTGAATGCTTATGTCTTTATTGGAATCGCACTTATATTTATGTGGTTTATGTTTTCATGGATGAATGGTTTCATGCCTTTATTTTTCATGCATGTAAATTGGACAATTTTATTAAGGCACACATTTAGGGGGAGCACATACTCAGGGGACACAATCCCAAATTTGCACATGAATTCTTGTTATTTACAAACATTACACTCTTAATCTAAAAGTGTTTTGTCACCATCAAAAAAGGAAGAGAATATTGACTCCATATGTTTTTGATGATAACAAAACATTCCTCTTTTATTAATATTTAATCTTGTTATTTAAGTGTGTAGGATTTAATTTAGTACTCCTAACAAAGTTGTTCATTAAAAACAAGTCAAGAAGCTTACCAAACTTAATATGAAGTTAATCGGTCAAAGAGGGAAATAGCAAGTAGTGAAAAAAAATTGAACCGTAGTTGCGGATTAACAAGGGACTTTAATCAATTAAGGTATGGTTGTAGGATAAGCCGAAGCAAAACAAAAATATGCTCATCAGTTAAGAAATCTAGTTAATCAGTTAGAGCAAAAGGTCCTAATATATTCAAGCGCCAAAAATAAGTTTGAAAATATAATTGACTGTTAAAGAGAGCCAAAATAAAAAAATCAAAATTTGAAGTTTTTCTAGTTGATTAAAGCTGATTTTAATTGGTTATATTTGAAAGAAGTAAAGCTTCAATTAGTCAAGGGAACTGCTATCCAATTAAAGAAATACTTTTGTATAGAGAAAAATGAAAATAGAAAGTTTATAATCGGTTAGAGCCTGTCATAACCAGTTAAAGGAAATCTCTTGAAAAAGAGAAGCCTAAAGTTAGAGAACTTTTAATCGATTAGAGTTGCTTGTAACCGGTTAGCAAAAGTTTATCTCCCTTTTTGAATTTAAACACTAAAAAACAAAATAACAACTAGAAGTGCATCAAAGTTGTTTCTAACGGTTAGAAACTATCACCAATAGAAAAATTTGACTCTCCAAGTATAAAAGGAAGCCCCAATAGTCAAAGAAAGTAGATTTAGAGAGAGAAGAGCCATTTTGAACAAAAAGTAAAATATTCTTCACCAAAACACTTGTTTTTCATTCCAAATTCAGAAAAAATGTTTAAACTTGATTGTAATCTGTCTAGACTTGTAAAGGTACTTAGTTGTACTTCTTTTTCTTAGGAAATTAAATTGTGGGAAGCACTCTAAAACTTATTATAAGGGATTAGAGCTTGGGTTGAGAGCTCATCTTGTAAATGCTTAGTGGAAGCTGTTAATTCCTCCGATATAGTGAAGTTGTGTTGAAAATCTTTGATTGGGAGATCAAAGTAGTAGATGTAGATTAAGGAGACCGAACCACTATAAATAGTCTTACATTGTTTACTTCTCTTTATCCTTCTTGGTGTCATTTAGCTACTACAAACTTTACATTTATTTTCTTATAATCGGTTAAAAGCTCTATCATTCAAAAAGGGCTTAGCTTAAAATTTTTAGTGTTATTCATCCCCTCTTTAACACTCTATTGAGATCAACAAATTTTACTTTCGTTAAACAATTAGCATCTTTAATTAACATTTTTAGTCAAATTAGTGACATGGCAAAAAATGGTTAATAAGAGTCCCTCACGTGTCTAAAAATGTCATCAATTTATTCTGATCTTATTTTGAAATATTTTATTTTTGAAATGAAAAAAATCAAAAAAATAAAAATGAAGAAAACAAATAGGTGGCGTTTGGTACTTTACAACGTAATGTGATTACAGGTAATGTGATTGCA